TTTACACTCATTCATTATAGGAAGCCGGCAATCATAGATTTTAAGGTTAATTTCCAGTTTCGATCAATGTTATTTTGTTTTTTGAGCCGAAAACCACAACTGAAGATTTAGTTGGATTAATTTTTAGGTTATGCGAGCACGAGACGTCTACTAGCCTTGTTAAGTCTTCGTTGAGCAATGCTTCTGCTATTTTGAAATATTTGTGTTGAAAACTAAAATAAATTTGAGTATCATCGGCATAGTGATGGATTGTGCAATTATGGTCATATTGATGAAAATCCGATATATATTAGAGAGAAAAGTAAAGGTCCCAATATGGAACCTTGAGGAACACCAAACTTTAGCAGTTGACTGTGGCATTTTCGAAGCTGTTAGGACCTTTTGATTTCTATTTGACAAATAGCAGCTTATCAAATTGACTGCAGCGTCAGCAAAACCATAGTAAGACAGATTAAGTAGCAGAGTTTCAGGGTCTAAATTATGAACGAAAATGAAAATCTCAAGGCATAGATTTTCGATGTTTTTGAGTTAGTAGAAGCTTCAGTCAAAAAAAGGGTAAAATGTTTAAAAGAAATCCAAATGTGCCTCAACTTTCTGAGCTAATTTAGAGCGCAGTCAAAAAATTATCTAGGTCTCCAAATAATGTCTCATAGTGAAGCGCTGTGAAGCACAGTGAAGCAAAGCGACGTAAAGAGAACCCACGAAAATTTTGTTATTGTGCACCACCTTCGCTTATACTAGAGTTTCGATCCTCTTCTCTTCGCTTTCCGTCCCCAATGGGCGTACACCTTAACGTTGCTTAGTAACTTCCGTATACCTAAAATTACGATAGACGCAATGTACGGGCTGAAAATCACCAGTTTACTTCACTTGACTTATTTTCCTTTTATTTACGCAGTCCCTATCATTCAAATCGTACCCAAAATGGTTTGCAAAAGCGAGCTCTTCCCGCTCCCGACAGGTCCGATGATCCCTAACAGTTGTCTCTTCTTCACATTCAATGAGATGTTCTTTAGAGCTAGGTCTGAGCTGCCAGTGCTCCAATAAGCCGTGAGACCTTTGATGTTGAGTGCGTCCCTACTGTCAATGGCTCTAATATCAGCACCGTTGTTGTTCTGCGGTTTGTTGTGCTCTATAAATTCTTCATTCAGCATGAAGCTTTGCAGGCGCCTGATCGCCACCAGAAGCTCGGCCACCTCGGAGATGCCTCGCACCCACATCGTAGACATCGTTTGGGAGAGAATGTTGAAGTAGGACATGAACACGAACACCTGCAAATAATATTGTTGTTTTAAACATATATTTCTGATTTTGAATATTTTGCATACACCTTTATGCCTTTTAGACAAACCTTTTACGGATGATTTATAGAGTGTACTGCTTGTGGTTGGTAGCTGGCTTGGAGGTATAGGTAGATAGCAATGTTTTTTAAGTTTGAGATTTAACAAGTTCTTGAGAATATCCATTACTGCAAAGTGTGATTTCAGTGAAAAATTCCTCTCTGTAGAAGATTTATTGATTCGAAGATATTTGTTGGGCTCTGCCAAATAAACGATTTACGACACCCCTTCTTTATACTCGTTGCGTAATTTGTATTGGAGATTCATCAACCACACAATCACAGGATAAGTTTCATGTTGTGTAATTTAACTTAGCAGAAGCCTTTTTTGTATACTATTCAAAACTCTCGATATACTAGGAATAAAGGAGTGGTCTGATTTTTACTTACAAAGTTCGATGCAGTTAGAATGAGAAGCAAAATCCTGTAAGGTACATCTCGCAGACCTAAAATGCGGCGGCATCATGGAGGGGAACTGAGAAGAGCCAAGTCAGTCGGCAGATCTTAAAAAAATATCTAGATTGCTAAGTATTGAAGTCGACGGAATGGGGTTTAAAATTCCTTGTACTTAGTACAATATTTACTAAGTCATACTAAGTCTGGGTATTGTAGAGAGTAATCCGGATAGTAAGTAGTCACTGGTGGTTATGCTCGAGATATTTCCTTATTAATGCATTTCTCCATGAATTCGCTGCTTACAAGCAGCAGGATTAATGGTGGAAGATGAGCAAACTTCAAATCATCTGCGAAAATATCTGCGATGCAGTAGCGAAGCGTCCATGTAACCATTGTTACCATTGGTAACAGTTAAAAATCTTAAAAATAAATATTTTATGACTAAGTACTGTGAAATAAGTTCATTTATTTGTTTACCAACAGCAATATGCAATAGTAACTCAGTACATAGCAAATTAGCCCCACGAAAATAATGCGCCCTATAGTGTCTAGGTTTTGTGAACACGATGAAGCTGACTCGCCTTGACTTGGTTGTCGGTTGTTACCGTTTTCATTTATGGATAGACTTGGTAGTCCGTCGGGGACCGTCGGTACCGGCTCGTGTCCTTGTATAATTTTTAAGAAAAAAGGAGATCAGTGAAAATGGAAGACCAATACCTATTTTAGATAATTTTAAAAAGTAAATCAAAAAACGTAGTCTGATATTTTAAATTAAGTTGGTATATGGAAACTCTTGGTTATGTGGTTTGCGAAAAAACAAATTGTATTGATGGCGATGTCTTGAACAAAAAGGGTGGACCAGCAGCGGAGTCAACGATTTAAATAGTTTAGGGCTTTAAATAGAAGACATGAAATTTCTCCGTATGTTTTTTGGCAAAACAGGAATTACCGTTCATTTTGAAGGGGATGACTCTGACAATAGAGGAAATTACAGGGAATTGTTAGCATGCATTGCCAAAAAAGATCAAAAATTTTCAGAACATCTAGAAAGGTCGACTGTTTTTTCGGACGGCTTGAATTAGTCATAGCATAAGACGATGAGGTATATCAAGTGCCCCAGACGCTCAGTCCAGGAGTGTTTACCTTAATTTAAAGCAAAAACTTATATTTGGGAAGTTCAAAATAACTTTTTTAATAAAATTTTTCACATCTGGTTTTGGTAACAGTTTAAGAAAAGTCACGCGTCGCCACTGCTACGATGCAAATCATCTGAAAAACGCAGCTTCAGTTCTTTTACACTCAATCCGACTTTTAAAATGCCTAAGAAAACCTTCTCATGCATATTGTTCCACAATCTAGGCATCCTAGGGAGCGGCCGTACTAACCAGTTGTGTTGTCCGAAGTTCGACGGAATGGAGTAGTAAAGTGTTGGTACTACGGGGTTAGCAAAAAGGGTCTAAGGTCTAACTGATACTACTACTACTAGTACTACTACTTCTACTACTACTACATGGACAGTGTAGTTGGAGCTGCAGCACCCCGAACATGTGAGCAGTACTGGAGCCTTACCTGGGCTTTGTACAGCGAGAGGAGAATATGTGAAGAAAAGAACCTTTTAGCCCTTCAGTAGGATGTATGGCAAGTTCTATGTCAGTACCAAAAGCTTTGTTGGTAGTGAGCTAAACAAATATATCAGTACAATTAGATATTTTTCTGATCGTCTGGCTCCACGTTGGAATGTGAAGTCAAAGCTTGGCGAGTTTGTCTAGAAGACCTAATAAGTGGTAGTAACATGAAGAATTTTTTCTACTCCTATGTTGAGGTATGCGTTAACAAACATTTTTGGTTTCATTAACCAACAAGCTCAAAGTTAAATTGGAATAGATCCTGGTCCAGTGCTTTTTTTTGTTTATCAGTGTGATCGTTGGCGTGCCAAATTGCAACGTTGTACTGTCAAAATTCTTTTTTTAAAGCTACCACCTTATACATATTCCGTGTGGTTTTACTAGTGGCACAGTATTTTTCAATTAGTTCAGGATGTCAACAAGGGCATCTTGTAGTCTCTGATATTAAATCCTCAAGACGTTATAAGACAAAGAAGGATGAATAATTTGCAAAACCAGTTTGAAGAGGTAGTGTCTGAAATCTTCGAAAGACAGAAGCATAAAAATAATTTGTGGGAGTTTTTCTGGACGGCACTAACCGCCATCTGGATTATTTCAAGAGTATTAAGCAGGAGTTAACGAACGGGTGAATGCTGGTGAAACAAATATTCGTATTATGTTCCGTCCTCGTCGCAGTAAATATTAAGAATACATATCGTAGTAACCTGGTAGTAGTACCCAACCGCCATGAGGTTACTACGATATGTATTCTAAATATTTACTTCGACGAGGACTTCACATAATTAAGATCGAACGTCACTTACGTGTAAGTTCGTTTGATCATGTAAATATGTTATTCAACCAAGTTAGAAAGGTCATACGAGGGATGTCTTTTAAGTTTTGCCTATAGAAACATAGTAGGCCGCGCGGATCCAACGTCAGTACTGAATCTTAACCTCACTCTTTCGTAAACTTAAATTCCAAGTTTCACAACAATACGTGCAGTGTTCTCACTACAGTGAATTTTTAAGTGTCACAAGTCATTAGAAAAATGGAACTCAACGGAGAACATTTTCGCGCCATAATTTATTACAACTTTCAGAGACAATTATTGCAACAAGAATGCCTTGCTGAGTTACTGTCTGTTTTCGGCAACGAAGCGCCACCAAAAACGGCATCATTGAAGATAGACATGTGACATATCGCGAGATTGAGGCGTCCTAGAAGGTCTCAAATACCTCAATTCAAAAAATTTTACATTAAGATTTAGGAGTAAGAAAATGAGGATACCCAACCTATTGACTGAAGAGCAGAAATCTGGTGTCAAAAAACGCTTGACCGTTTCAATTCCGGAAACTCAAAAAATGTGTACAGTATTGTTAGTAGTGGTGATGAATCGTGGATTTACTGTTATAAACCAGAAAATAAACGACAGTCGGCTGTTTGGGTGTTTCAAAGTGAAGAAAAGCCAACAAAAGTCATCCGTTCTCGAAGTGTTTCGAAAAAGATGGTCGAGACATTTGTGTCAAAAGCGGGTCATATTGCAACAATTCCTCTTAATGAGCAAATAACTGTTACTGCGGATTGGTATACCACCATTTGTTTGCCAATAGTCATCACCCAGCTTCAAAAAATCAACCACGAAAGAATAATCATCCTCCACCAACACAATGCAAGCTCGCACACAGCCCAAAAAACAAGGCAGTATTTAACGGAAGAAAACGTGGAATTATTGGACCATCCTCCATATAGTCCTGATCTAAGTCCTAACGATTTCGTTACTTTCCCGAAAATTAAAAACAGACTGCGTAGTCAAAGGTTCCAGTCACCAGAAGAAGCAGTTGACGCATTCAAAAATGCCGTTTTGGATTTGCCAGCTAACGAGTGGAAAAAGTGCTTCGAAAATTGGTTCAAGCGCATGCAGATGTGTATTAATCTTCGTGGAGAATACTTCGAAAAACAATTAAGTCATTTAAAACTACCTACCGTGTTGTTTTATTTCCATATGCAAAACTTAAAAGTCATCCCTCGTATTGTCAAACAAAATTCTCCCAGCAATAAAAATAAGGAGAAGTTTTTTGTCTATGTATGATATGAAACAGCTTTATTTATTACACATTATTACTCACTATAATAAATTTCTCAGCATCGACCAAAAATTAAACATAAACATTACATAAGGTTCAAAATTCGTGTTCAGTAGTTCCTCAGCCAGATAAAAAAATGCAACGATCATATCTCTATTTTGCACCAGAATTTTATGTCATTTTACCTCAAGACTTAACAGATTTACATTCCGGGCATTATTTCAAGAGAAATGTGAAAAGGTGGTTACATTCTACATCAAGGACTGAAATCTATATACTCATAATTTAATTTCATTATTCTGGCCCTATTTTTTATAATTTGCATTCTACAGTTACAGCTTGAAATTATTGGTCCATACACAGGCAATGCCTCCTATTAGGTCTGATCTTATTTTATATTTATTTACTCATGTTGTTTTATCTGTACATTGAGTGAATAAATATTATAATTATTATCAAAACCTTAGGGGCGTAAACACCAAGGTTGATGAAATTTACCCTCCTGTATTGGTGAGTGACTTTGACACAGTTCTGGTGTGAAACATGGCTAAAGAATGCCAGTCGTAGTTCTGAAGTGTTCCTAAATAAATGGTGTTTTTTTTTTTCGAGGTATAGAACTTTAAGTTGGCATTACTTTTGAAGATGGCAACCGATTTGACAGCTGTCAAGTGATTTATTCTCAGTTTGGTTTGGCAATTCATCACGAAAAGACTCTCGCCTGAATAGCGCTTGCAAATGGTGTAGTTTTATTTCGAAAACAATGGTTCTGTGCGGAATACGTACCGCGGACTACGTCCATTTTATCGTCGACAAAATCGTCTATCAGAGCAGTTAATTCGATTAACCATAGAACGTTTTCGCACCACGTTTACTCTAATTGATAACTCGCATCCCCAGAGACGCCGTACGATGCGTACAGAAGAAGCTATTGCCACTGTAGAGCGTAGTATTGAGGAAGACCCGAATGAGTCCATCCGCCATCGAGCACAGGAATTGGATCTGTGTCCATCCACTTTATGGAAGATTTTGCGGAAGGATCTTGGTTTGCGTGCTTACAAAATCCAACTCATGCAAGAATTGAAGCCAAACGATCATCAAGCAACGCGTAGATTCGTTGAATGGGCCCAAAACGAGATTGCCGTTGTTCCCGATTTTCATAAGTGAATTTTGTTTAGCGATGAAGCGCACTTCTGGTTGAATGTCTACGTTAACAAACAAAACTGCCGCATTTGGAGTGAAGCTAGTCGTCAAGTCTATGTCAAAACACCGTTACATTCAGAAAAACTGACTGTTTGGTGCGCTTTATGGGCTGGTGGATCATTGGTCCGTACTTATTCAAAAACGATGACGGCCAGAACGTTAGAGTCAATGGTGATCGGTATAGAGCCATGATTACTAACTTTTTCATTCCTCAATTGAACAATCATGATGTCCAGGAGCTGTGGTTCCAACAAGACGGCGCAACATGTCACACAGCTCGTGCTACAATTGATTTATTGAAAGACACGTTTGGTGACCGCCTAATTTCACGTGTTGGACGTGTGAATTGGACTCCAAGATCTTGTGATTTAATACCGCTAGACTATTTTCTGTGGGGCTATGCAAAGTCGTTGGTCTATGCGGATAAGCCACAAACGTTTGACCATTTGGAAGACCACATTCGCCTTGTTATTGCCGATATACGGCCACAAATGTTGGAAAAAGTCATCGAAAATTGGACGTCCATATTGGACTACATCCGAGCCAGCCGTGGCAGTCATATGCCAGAAATCATATTTAAAATGTAATGCCACAAGATTATCTTTCGAATAAAAAAAAATCATGTCAATCGAATAATCCATCGTTGTTTTATTGCAATTTAAAGTTATATACCTCTAAAAAAAACACCCGTTATGTGCTAAGAAAAGATCGAAGTCTTGATATACTCAACATTTCCACGGTAGGTGCTTAGGGCAAAAAAACATACTTAACTGTTCAGTTACAATTCCCTGGCATTGGATATTATTTGCTGCTAATGTAAGTTTTCTCATATATGAATCTATTTTGTTATATCTTCCACCAAGCGTAACTTTGTATCATTTTGACCTTTTCTTTGAGGCACTGTATAGGAGAATCAATAAGATGATGAAAATGTTGACTTACTGGATGGCTTTAAGGTGCCTAAGTTCTCTGTTAATGATATAAATGATGGCAAACCAAGAATGGATTTGTCATTTTTAATTTCGATCAATTCAATATAGTCTCCAAGAATTATGGTAGATTGCTTGATTTGATTATGGGTAACACATTCAATATCGGCTTTCCAATCATAAATCTGATGGAAAGTACATTCAAGGCTTCTTGATCGAAGTAAAAATTTCAACTTCAAAAAAAAATTCCTATTATTATTATAATAATAATGTTAATTGAGTCAAAAATACAATTTAGGAGCGAAAGAAAAAACATATCCCGCAATAAACATACACATCACCACAAGAGGCAAATGCTTGTGCGTGGGAATGAATATATGATTCTGTACTCTTAACTGATTGGTCTTTTACTCATAAAGTTGTGGGTGTGTCTTTTCGAGATGCTAGGAAAGACTCCATTTAAAAAAAATAATAAATTTTCTGACTTACTTTTGTGGCAACTCCACTTTAAGAAAAATAATAAATTTTTTGACTTACTTTTGTGGCAGTAATTGGCTGTTGCATTAGCACCATGGTCAGCAATGAACAGAACAGCGACATCCTTGTCGTGAACAGATTGAACGTCATAAACAGGCCTCTGACGTAGGAAGACTTCGTAACCACTTTCAGTTCGGCTTTCCTGGCATACTTGATCAACTTGGTGAACGGCTTCTCCCAGGCGTACATTTTTATCACTTGGATTCCAGATATGATCTCGTCCATCAGTCTTACACGCTCATCGGTCTTCATTGCGGTTTGCTTGCGGTATATGGCTGACAGCTTACCTGTGTACGCTGTGAATGCAAATTAATACAGATTTATTTACTTGACAGCTATTGAATTTGATATAGGATCGTCTGAAATGAAACAAAATACGACTGTTGTATGACCAATTTTATAGACACCCTTCTTACCATAATCATTTAATGCAATCTGTCTTGAGTAAACATTTAATAACATATATGAAGGGAAAGTGTGATACAAGTAGTTTATTTACTTAGTTTTACACGCGATCTTCCTTTGAAATCTAATTTTTCCTTTATTTCCCATGTCGATTGATGAAAATGAGCTGTTTTGGCACATACTGCAAATATGGTGAATGTGCTACTGTCGAGATAGTATTGTAACCCTGAAAAATTTTGAAAATAAGATATTATGTTTTTTGGATGTTATATGACATGTGCTACATGCAAAGCCATGTCACTCATTTCCGTTGGTCTATATGTCGGTCTGTTTGCAAATATTAGGCCCTGCTGTACAGGGTGACGGGGAAATAGATGCAGAGCCGGTGGGGGGAGATAGTACAAGCCAATCTGAGAGTCGATTTTACTCTAGGAACTACTGTCCGAAAATTAGCCGTTTTCGAATTATACCAATTTTCAAGATTTTATAAAATTAATTAACCTCCTTTATACGTTAACCAAGTCATAAAACTTGAAAATTGGGTGTTACATTTGTTTTTTTTTTGTTTTACAATAAAAATATTCTAAAATACGAAAATTGATACTCAAATGTGCATTATGGACGTTATCTCATGCAGTAAGCTTCAAAATAGTTCAATTGTTGTTAAAAAAATCTTCGTTCATCTCAAAAACTCAATTTACTAGAAACAATCACCTACAAATTTTTCGTGCAAAACAATTTTAAAATATCTACGTTTCATTACCTTTCAAATGAGGTATCAAAGTCACAAACCGGTTTAGAAATGACAAAGGTATGAGTGAAAGAAACAGGTAGAGCCGCGAACATCGGACTTTGCCACCCGAATAGTGTGATAAGTAAGACTAGTCACCCCCTCCCTCCCTCGCTTCAATCTGCTCTTGCGATTTGTTGCGTTCGGGTGTGTTTGTTTGGCAAACGTTCCGTCGGGTTCGAGAGCGCGGTACCGTCGTAAGGTATCAAGGTAAGTTTGCATCATTGGAGGTTTGCGGGCTGAACTGATGATACTGTAACATAGTTGTTTTGATACAGTTGGTTGAACTTCTTAATTAAGAGTTGATTCATTAATTTGAACACGAGCATCTACACGGCTCTGAAGATGGAAACATCCACACGTTGTGTATCGTTTTTTCTAAATAATATTTTTCCAACTCTCTAGCTCATAGTCTTACCGCTATGTTTATTAGGTAACAAATTCCTCCAAAAAACTCGACATGATGTGGAAGAAGAAGAAGAAGAAACATTAAATATTTTCGAAAGATACCCTACTCTCTCTACTCGCGCTGTGGCTCGATGGCTTGGATTATCCCAATGGCAAGTGTGGTATGTTTTGCATGAAAACATATTCAACCCTTACCCACTACACACCTGTGCACGTCATAGAGGAAGAAGATCCCATGAGGCGCATGCGATTTTGTCGTCGTTTTATTTTAAACGCTGATGTTGAAGATAGCAATTATTTAAGAAAAATTCTATGGACCGACAAATGAAAATTTGAGAAAGACGGCATAACAAACTACAATAACGATCACTAATAGCGTGAACGTGCAGTGGAAAATCCTCATATGAAGAGACCAAACGGATCTCAAAGGCGATTTTGTCTGAATGTCTGGATGGGCATTATAAATAACTGTTTGGTAGGACCACTTTTCCTACCCGACAACTTAAATGGAGAAGCCTACGAAAATGTCTTAAGAAATGTTCTATTTGAATTACTTGAAGACGTGCCGCTACACACAAGACACAGAACGATTTTTCAGCACGACGGGTGCCCAGCACATTTCAGACTAAGTGTTAGAAATTGGTTAAATGAGCAGTTTCCGAATCCATGTATCGGTAGAGGCGGACCAATCCCATGGCCAGCACGCAGTCCCGATCTCACAACTATGGACTTTTTGTGTGGGGTCGCATGAAAACTTTAGTATATTCTAACCAAACTCCTGTACCCACAATAGAAGACTTCAGAAATAGGATAATGCATGTATTATCCTGTTTCTGAAACAGGATAATACATGCAGCATAAGAAATTCAAGCCTCTCTTAGGAATTCGGCGGTAGTAAAATCAGCTGTCATAAGAAGAGCACGTGTGTGCATTAGAAATAGAGGGCGCCATATTGAAAATGTATTATAAAAATAAAAAAATGTAGTTTCAAACAAATTATCCTGTATTAAGGTATGATTTTGTAAGTGTAGTATTTTTATTGCTTTTTCCTTCCTCCTCTTATAATAGTCATATTTTTGCCAATTCTTAATCGATTTGTGATTTTTATACCTCATTTGAAAAACGTAGATGTATTCTAATTATTTTGTACGAAAAATTTGTATGCGACTTTTTCTAGTAAACTGAAGCTTTTGAGATGAACGAACAAAAATCGAACTATTTTGAAGCTTACTGCATGAGATAACGTCAATAATGTACATTGAGTATCAATTTTCGTATTTTAGTATATTTCTATTGTAAAACAAAAAAAATCAAACGAAACACCCAATTTTCAAGTTTTACGACTTCGTTAACGTGTAAAGGACATTAATTTCATAAAATCTTAAAAATCAGTATAATTCGAAAACGGCTAATTTTCGGACAGTAGTTCCTATAGTAAAATCGATCCTGATTGGCTTGTACTATCTCCCCCCACCGGCTCCGCATCTATTTTCCGGTCACCCTGTATATCTTGGAAAGTTACCAGTCGGATTTTGATAAAATTTGTATACCAAGTTACTACGCCAAGGATAAAAAAGATTTATAGTCCTTGAAAAACAATTCAGTGGCGGCGAAGCTACGAAAAAAAAAACGATTTTTATTTTTTGGAAAATTCTTCTAGAAGATGAAAACTGGGGCTTGGAAGTTGTAGCAGGTAGGGGTTCTTAATGTTGTTTTATTGTATCAGTAAAATACCTTATATTATCATGGTAATACCATTGTTAGACAAATGAAAATTACTAGTAGTAAGTACTAATTTAGTCGATGCGAATTTTAGTCTTCATATCCAGTTATGATTTGAATTTCTAAGTCCTGATCAAGGCCGTGAATGTAGTTAGTAGAAAATAACGTTTACTTACATTGTAAAGGTGTTACTAGAAACACAACGACCACACCGACGATTCCAGCCAGTTGAGCTTCTTTGTACAGGAAATACATGACGATTATTGCAGATGCTGGGGCTATCCACATTTGGTGGATAAATATAGATACAATATCGAATCGACTAACGTCATTCGATAGCAGATTCACTATTTTTCCTGAAGCGGTTTCACCTAAGGCAGTTTTACTCAGTCGAAGGGACTAGAATAAAATGGAAAGTGTTACACATTTTTATAAAAATTCCATATACAATGAGATATATTTTATGAACATTTAAATTGCTTGCTTAGTTATGAGGTTCTGTTAATAGAGCTACCAAGATTGGGTCATCAGTTCTCGCTGAATGACTGATTCTTCCGAGTTTTCTAGGTTTATTCTAAAAAATTCTATTAACAGTACAAGTATACTTTATCTGAAGTCACTTGAAATAGCATAAAAACCTTTCGACGGCGCGTCCTTTGTAATTTCATGACGTATCATAGGCGTGCGGTCATTTATTTAGAACGATAATAATAATGTTTGGTATTAACTGCTGCTCTATCCACTTTTCAAATAAGTCGGAGGTCATGTCCTCATGATAGTCGGCACATGATTATTTGATATTTTTGGCAGATAACAGCAAGGCATTAGGTATAAATCCATTTTCACTGACAGCATGGAGAATAATGATTCGTTTTCCACGGTTGCATGGTGCATTTAAAATGCACTTGTTGCTGTCGTCAACCCAGCCATACTGCACAACATCATGGGTATCATACCACGTTTCATCCAGGTAAATCAGATTTCTTTTCTGCTCTCTATAGATTTTAACTTTGTGCTAAAATTCTTGGCGCAATTCAACGATTCGAGACGACTCCATAATCACCATTCTTTTATTTAATTTTTTGTATTGCAAACCACACAGTTTTACAATACAGTGCAGTGAGTCTAAGCATTTGTAATTATAAAAATCTTCAGGATAATCTTTTAATTTATCCCGTATCATTTCCAACGTGGGCACCAAATTTTCTTTATAAAATCCGTATATTATACGACGAATATCTTCCTGAAAACCCACGTCTATTCTTTTTAATTTTTGCCCTATGCGCTTTCTGTGGAAAGAATGGTTGACTACATCTCCCCTTTTTATAAGCCGATAAATGGTAGACCGCCTGATTTTTGTCAGGATACAAATTCTGTTTAAAATTTGATTTTGCGAGGAATCTGGATTTTCGTTTTTCAGACAATCATACATATTTAGGATTACTCTTTGGGTCTGTTCCTCTAAATCTTTATGAAAGAATTCTGCCTGCACAGGTTCATCAACCATCTCCTCGTGGTTTGGAGCATTTTCCCAAGGTCTCCAAAGAGCCATATTTAGGACACACAAGAACAATCAACACAACAATTAAATCAACAAGTAAACTGAGTATTCAAAGTCAAAAACACAAACTAATAAAATCTATGAAAAAACACGGACAGACTAAAGAAAACACGTTTATTCACCGCTACACGGCACTGGCTAAACTGTTTCAATTTTCAGTAGCCACCTGCACTTGTTCGGAGCTCTGAAATACACGCTTTCTCATTGGCTATGTCCACGCATAGGCGTGCTTTACTCCACGTGGACCGGTGAAACTGCCTTTGATCTTATACGGGGGATATTTGCTGCGAAATTTGGCGATTTTTGCAGCAACAGAGCGTGTAAATATAGATATATAAAACGCACCCGGTATTTCACAGTGTTTCAAGTGACTTCAGATAAAGTATACTTCTGAAATTTTGCACTTTTTTGGCAATTCTTAATACAACACCTAAGTCAAAATTGCTCTTTTATTTATTGGCCAACAGAAGAGACAACCTTAGGCAAAGTTCAGGTTTTATCATATTACAAAATCAAGGCGCCTATTCTTTTTGCTAGCGAACCGATGTATGATTGTATTCACGTCTATTTTAATATTCCTATGCATATACAAAAAAACTAAGCCCGCTAATCCCTCTTGTAACATAGTGGAGCGCAGCCAAGTTTTTATCATTTTTAGATGGAAGAAACTTCTTTCAGATGTCGCAACACTTACCGGCAATGAAATCAATAATTGTAGGCATCTATTAATTGAAGGAAAAATGTTTTCATCACATGATAAATACAGTGACAGTAAACTGTCTATAATATCTTGTGTACGTGACTCCCAAAGGTCAAATTCTGCTTTTAATCTGGTACTTATTAAATTTTTGTTTTCGTTACTATTTAGTCCATACAAACATTTAGAGATTGTTGAAGTATTTTTCGGAATTTAAGCGTCTTTCTCGTACAACTGAAATAATATTTCCTATCACGTTGACAGCATATTGTTTGTCAATTGTTTTTGATTGTAAAATCTTACTCAGGTTGTCTGTTAAATGCTAGTATATCACACAAACACTTTAGTGATACCATAAACTGGGTGGAAGTAATGGCAGTCTTCAAAGACTCCGCTTTTGAAGAAGCTTCGCGGTCTTTCCAATTTGATATAATATTTAGTACCTCTACAATTTTCTCGAATTTGCTTTCAAATTGGAGGACAGAATCATGTCTCTCGGTCCATCGTGTTTCGCACATACTACGAATTTGATATCCATCTAGTTTTCTTTTTAATACTGTATTTCTTTTAGCGGATGCTTTGAAGAACGCAGTTACTTCCTTCATTATACCTACAGTATTTCTTACTGCTTGGACATTGCTGCTTTTTTTTTTGAAATCGAAAGATTCAAGACATGATTTGCGCATGGACAAATTTGAGCATTTGGCAAACATTTTTGCAATTCCATTACAGCGCCCTTTTGTTCACCTAACATTAGATTACACGTATCAGTTCCAATGCCCACACATAGTTTTGAGTCTAAGTTATTGGTTTTAATGAAATGCTTGACTGTTTGAGCAAGCATTTGACCTGTAAATTTGAGTAGCAAACCACAAATCCCATGAAGTCCTCGGAAATATGTTTTTGATAACAATACCCCAAGACGATTGACATTTGTGATTTGTAATACTGGCTTTGCCTGACGCGACTTAAAACTATATCCAAGAATTATTCGCCACAACATTCTATAATTTCATTTTGGATGCGGCTGCTTATGTACGTAGCATGCGCTCTTGAGTTCTCTAAGCTTTTTTTTGAAATTGCCGCTGCTCTCGACTGTAAACCGTATTAGTTCTCTAAAGTTTCCTTCATTATTAAGGGCATCCTCGTCATTCGTGCTGTCATTAGAAAAAAGTCGTCCCCTACCTCTATGCCCTCTAAGTGGTATATTTTGGCTTCCCAGAAAAATTATAGATTCTATTATAGAAGTCAATCTTTGCCGATTTTCTGATACTTGCTTAATTCGCTCTGAACCTATCCTATATTTCTTATATCATTCTCTGGATTTTCGTAAATCTTTAAAAAGTTTGTAGCATCTGAAACTGCTTCTGTATGATATATTGAGTTCTCATGTGTCTCACAATCACCGGGTTTGCCATACAATTTCGAAAATTTCTTTAGTGGTACGGTCACAAGTTTTTCCAATTTACTTGATTTATGTACTCCTCCTAATTTTGCAAAAACCACGCAATATTTACAGAAAAGCCGTTGTAGTTCCACTGAACATGACAGCCAAGGAAATTTCTCAGTTTTTTTTTTATAAGTAACATTTCACTTCTTTATTATTTTTCAAGTGTGTGGATTAGGGATTAGGGATAAATGCACACCTCAATAAGGTATATTTTTCATGGGAAGACAAGCTGCCGCTGAAATTTACATACGGCGCAACATCAACAAAATTGGATCCTTTAGGTTTCGCACCCGAGTGTTCAACACTTGGTTCAGCATACGGTGCAACATCAAGAAATTTTGAATTGGAAAGCTCAGGATGATTTGCAGGATTATCATCAGTTTTTTCCGGTATTTCTTGTGCCGGTGGATCAGACAGTTTGTTTTGTTTAGAAAGGAACCAATCGATGGTATTCTGTTTCCTTTTACTCATCCTGACAACAGCAGCCGTCAACTAGCACCAAAAGTTACACAAATATTGTCAAATAAACGGCATTATTGGTTTCCATGCTTTCACGTACCTCATAACAAAGAACCTTTTCTGTTTGGAAAACAAGATTTCTTAAGTTCACGCAATTTTCAAAAACTAAATATATAATTTGCCATCTCGGATGAAAGAAATGCACTGAAGTGCTTATATACAGAGAGAAAATAGACATAGATGATAATGATAGCTGGAGTATGAACCAAACAGTTCGTAATTGAAATTATATTAAATCTCCATTTTTCCGTCTATCATTTTTTTAGACACGATTCTTTTATAGTATAAAAATTAAAAACAAACAAAAATTAATTTTCGGCTTATGCGTGGAAAATAAAAAATCAATAGAACATAGAAAATAGCGTTAATAACAACCAGATCAACAGAACTCCGCTTGTTCACTTCTCAGCCAAATTTTGTTGCGGACTCCAAACCAGTACTGAATTTAGACACTAGACTAGACCATAAAAGACTACCAATAGGAAGAAGCGCACACAGTTCCGAGCTAGCAGCCGTCGCGAGTATACACTTGTGCGACTGCGACCCACCCGGACATATTGAGCAATCTTATTGCAATTTTCATTGCGATAGATTGGTTGTTTGCCATTTACGATGGCAAAAATTGAGAAGCTGGCTAACCAGCTGAAAGAAAAGAAAGATGCTTTCGCCATGCTGGGAGAGCAGATGCGAAACCTGCAAGAAGCCTTCTTGCAGGATCAACAGAAGATCGAGGAGCTGAATGGGAAGCTCCGCAGGGCCAAGAAGAAGGTCGCAAAGAAGACAGAAGAAGAGGAGGAAGAGGACCACCAGGCTACGTCGGACGAGATGGACGCTCAGGAAGAGGGCACTCAACGGACCGAAGAAATAGAAGAAGAAGAAATAGAAGAAGAAGCCGAGAAGAGGACCGACGACACCGATTTCAGTGTCGCCACTAGACGGAGGAAGCGGGTGCGAGTTTCCTCCTCCGAAGATGAGTCGCCCAGGCAGCCAAAGATGCCAGCTGCTGCCACCAAGAAGAGTCCTAGAGCAGCCAGGACCATCGTGCCCCCCATGTCGGGAACAGGAGTTCCCCCCATCAGCATCGAGGGCACCGCTGACTGGTCATCCTTAAGCAGGATGATGAACAGCAAGGGGATCCAATTCTCCAAGGCGAGGACGGCGGGTAACAGTGTGAAGGTGTTCACAAATACACCAGCTGACTACCGTCAGCTAGTCGCACTGCTGGAATCCATCAAGCGGCCCTTCTTCACCTATCAACTGAAGGAGGACAGGATGGACCAGAGGGTCATTCGTGGGCTACCCAGGGAGATGTCAGTCAATGACATCAAAGAGGATCTAGTGAGCCAAGGCATCGCAGACGCCGAGGTTCAGCAGATGACCTCAAGGACCACCAAGAAGCCACTTCCGCTCTTCCTCGTCAAGACGAAGATGCCGGAAAAGCTTGCAGAGATCCAGAGGCTGGCCATGCTCACGGTCAGCTTCGAGAGGAAGAAAAAGTCTTCCGAGCCCAGCCAATGTTACCGCTGCCAGCGGTACGGGCACACACAGCGGAACTGCCGTCTCGCTGAACGGTGCGTTAAGTGTGGAGAGGACCACAACAGCACCAGCTGCAGTCTGCCAGCGCCGCCAACAGGGCAACGAAACGCCAAGTGTTGCCTCTGTGGAGAAGGCCACCCCGCCAACTACAAGGGATGTAGTAAGGCCCCGAAGAAAGCTGCTTCTGCCCCCAAAGCAGTCCCCACCACAAAAAGGACTTCTTACGCTCAAAAAGCGAAGAAACCTATGTCCACTTCTGCCCCAGCAGCCGCCACTGCTACTGGAACTACTGCGCAGAAGCAACACGGCGATGACAGACTGCTAGCAATGATGCAAGCCATCATAACCCGCCTGGATGCACTCGAGGCCAAGATGCAAGACAAGCACTAGACCCGAAATGTCTACAGGGCAAAACGTAGAATCTCTACGCATTATCTCCTGGAACATCAACGGATCCAGGGCACGGAAACCAGAAATCCAGGAGATACTAGACCAGTACCAACCAGAGGTGATGGCCATCCAAGAAACGAAATTGGATGCTGCCCATAGTCTGACGTTCTCGCGGTACGAGACGTACCGCTACGACAGAAGGGGCAGAGGTGGAGGAGTCGCAAACGTACCTTGACGAGTCATGTCCTCGACGATGCCGCAGACATAAATGGGGACGGAATCACGGTCCAGGTCCATCACAACCACCGTCCCTACAGAATCATCTCCCTATATGTGCCACCAGGGGAGGCCCTAGACGAAGATGACATCGCTGACCTCCTGAGAGGCCCAGGAGCACGCATAGTCATCGGAGATCTAAACTGCAAGTCTCCGGCATGGAACAACAACGTCGAAGACAGGAATGCAAGGCAGCTCCAGGAACACGTCGATGCCCTGGCGGGGGTCATCGTCGGTCCGGAGCAACCAACCTACATTCCATTCGGCCTTGGGCGACCTGCGGTACTGGACATAGCCATCCTCCGCAACATCAGAGAGGAGTTCGAGATAGAGACCCTGGTGGAAGGATCGTCGGACCACAATCCGATTCTACTAACACTTGGCACAGGGTCTAGAACTCGAGATAGCTTGAGCACCAAACGGACGAACTGGAACCTGTACAAATCCAACGTCCAGAGGAACATCACTCAAATTCCAACCATCCGATCAGCGGAGGAACTGGACAACGCAGTAGCGGAGCTGGAGAATACTGTCCTGCGAGCGCACGAGGACAGCACCCGCTCCGAGACTACGGCAGTTCCTAGACACCTAAATGGTCCAGCACCGCACCATATTAGGCACCTGATCAGGGAGAACAGAAGACTCAAGCGAGAACATCTCCAACTGTTGACAGAGGAGTCGAGAGTTGCGCGAGTTAGCTCTGAAGAACGCACTCGCGGAACTCCAAAACAGCAGATGGAATGCAGCCTGTGCAGAACTAGAGATCCAGGATGGTACGGCCTGGTCTATGCAGCGAAAATTTCGTCGTCAGCGCACCACGATCCCCACTCTTCACGGCCAACGCGGCTTGGCCTACTCCAGTGAAGAAAAAGCCGAAGCATTCGCCGATTCGCTAGAATCCGAATGCAGACTCAATTACCATGAAGACGAGGACGACAACCACGAGGAGGCCGTGGAAGTCGCAGCCGAAAACATGAGGAGTCGACCACCTGGCCAGGAGACGGATCACCCCTCCAGTCCAGAGGAAATCCGTCTGATCATCCGCAGGTTGAAGGTCAGAAAGGCGCCGGGAAGGGACGGCATCAACAACAGGATGCTGAAGAACCTCCCCACCAAAGGCATTGCTGCGCTCACCAACATCGCCAATGCCACCCTGAGACTTAACCACTTCCCGCGGCGGTGGCGGGAAGCCCAGGTTATAATGCTCACCAAGCCAGGCAAGGACCGGAAGTTGCCCCAGAACTACCGGCCCATCAGCCTGGTTTCCTCGATGGGCAAAGTAGTCGAAAAGGCTATCGCCGTTCGACTAGAGAAGCAGGCAGAAGAACTGCAACTTCTCCCCCCAGAGCAATTCGGCTTCAGATCCTCGCACAACACGGAACTCCAAGCGCTACGACTGACAGAAAACATCACCAGCGGCTTCAATCTCCAGGAGGCAACCGGTCTCGTCCTGCTGGACGTGGAACGAGCCTTCGACCGAGTTTGGCACGATGGACTCATCGCCAAAATGGAAGCCGCCGGAATCGATGCGAACATGTGCCAACTGATCCAGAGCTATCTGACACAAAGATGGTTCACGGTGAAGATTGGTACATGCCATTCAACAAGACGACAGCTGGAAGCAGGCGTGCCCCAGTTGTCAGCCTTAGCCCCCCTGCTATCCAACATCTATACTCACGATGTGCCGAAGACAGCTGACACAATGCTGGCCCTATATGCAGACGACACTGCTATAGCCGCCCGAGATCATCCGTAGGAGACTACAGGATGAACTGGACCACATTCAGGACTGGTGCGTGAAATGGAAAATCCGCATCAACGTCCAGAAGACGCAGGCAATCTTCATTCAACGAAGAAGGATTGCAAGACCTCTCGAAGCATCCATCTTCGACGAAGATATCCAGTGGAGCGACAATGTCAAATATCTGGGGATCGTATTTGACAAGTCCCTCACCTGGAAAGCGCACATAGAAGCTGTCATCGCAAAGACCAGAGCAGCCATGGCTCAACTCTATCCATTACTGGGTAGACACAGCCAGATGCCGCTAGCGACCAAGCTACGGCTGATCAAGGCCATCGCCAGACCTCAGCTCGCTTACGCCTCCGCGGTCTGGGGGTACGCTGCCCCCAGCTACCGCAAGCGACTTGCTGCTCTAGAGATGAAGCTACTCCGGATCGCCACCAGTGCACCATCCTACGTAAGAAACTCAACCTTGCGTAGAGACCTGCACTGGGACACCATCCACGAGTACATGAGGAAAAAAGCGGAGAAGACCTTCGAGAAAGCTCAGGACCACCCGAACGAGCAGCTACGATTCCTCATGGACTATGATCCGGACGAGAGGCCTCGCAACCGCAGAACCAGGTACCCCAGACCAAGGTCCCAGTTGGCACCCGCTAACTGGAACCTTGACTAGGAGACTAGGAGAACTCGCGGTTGCTCCCCCCCCCCACGGCGTGGATGCAGAGGACCAGGAACCACCGGGACCAGGACCCACCGGGACCAGGACCAACCAGGACCAGGACAACAACATATTGGTAAGAGGACTTGAAACTCTTGATTTTTCGAAAACAACAGTTTCAAGAGAACCAGCAGACCCTCTATCGAGGATCGCTTAACGACATCGATAGAATGTGCGAGGTAAAGGGAACCAACCCGGCGTTCCCAGACTGAAACACATGAGGAGACGTTGTAGCAGACCGCAGGTCACGCACAACACATGGCCTACCAAAAAAAAAAAAAAAGCGCACACCGTTGCTGTTGGTGTGGGAGAGTCGCATGCGTACTGAGCGGGTTGGCAGTGTTGCCGCTATCCTTTCTTAAAGTTACAGATTTTTTTATAAGACTTTTCAAAGACTGCTCGAGTCGTCTGGAGGGTAATTACCCCCTGTAAACTGGAATGACATTTAGAGTTGCACAAAATATCGGCAGCTTTTCAAAGACAATTCTACTTCCACACTTGGTTCTACAGTGGCATCTTTTTTAGCCTTGTTCACATTATATTTTCTTTAAACATACTCATCTAAACCTGCTTGTAACGTTTTTAAGTTGGTTGGTCCTAGTTTAAAGCGAACGCAATCGGCTAATACTAGGTTTGGCCATGAATGTATAATGTTACATCTAAGACTATCCAACTGCCAGTGGCTACACCTAGTTCTAACTGGCTAAATATAGTTGTCACCGAATTTCAGGTTTTAGTTCTGAAAAAATAAATATGTTGTAGTGGAACTACTGATGCATGGTTACGTAGGAATATATAAGTCGGCTACTTACTTTTCTGTATATCAGAGCGCAGCAAGCAGCTCTGACTTTCATCCCATAGTGGAAAGCACACATGATGTACTGATTGATCAGTATAGCGCTGACACCAATCAGGGCTACCAAGCCCCCTGCATACATGAATGCTTCATCCCTGGTAATTTCGGTGCCTGGCCTGAAGTACTCCAGGAGGTTGCCCAGCATGATAGGCTGCGCTAACCGAATGCCCAAGTCCAGAATTACGGAAATAACACCTAAGTATAAGTACTCTGGCCAGAACGTGGCAACCAGCACTTTCAGGAGACTCGGGTTCTTGCCGAGCTTTGTTGAGCGTTCTAAGTGCTTTATCCATTTTCTGGAAAGAGTCAAAATATTTTATTTGTATTTTAATATGTTTCCCAAACTTCCCATTATTTTATGGAGTATTCGCTTCCAACGATATCCCATAAATTTTACTCAATTATTGAATTTATTGTAGATTTTGTACAGTTTCGTTCATTTTATTAGACTATATGCTTATTGCCTCTGCTGTAATCGGTAAGAACAAAATTTGAATGGCTATTGTTGAAACCAGCAAAATTTATCCAAAAAGTATCGATGAATCGCGCTACATGATTTTTTGTTGTCCAAAACTCATACGATATTCCAAAAAAATTTATCAGTCTCAATACTTTTACAAAACTTTGTTAGTGGGAAAGAAAAACTTTCCCAATGGTACATGCTATTACTTTACACTTGTTAGATTATGTATTAAGATTGCACGGGTACTTAGGCTGGGCGCGTACATTCGTTTTCCGCGTTTGATTTCCGGATTCGTTTTCCGTATTCGGAGACTCAAATGCATCAAACGCTAACGAAATATATTGACTGCCGCACAAGTTCATTTTTTTCCGAACGGAACACATTCCGTACGTACGTTTCGGAAGCCATCCCGTGCGTTCGTAAAAACGGAACACACAGTCGGAAATTTCTATCCAGAACCACGCAGTGACGTGCGTATTGGACGTCACGTCGTTGCATCAAGAGCTCGAATGCATCAGGACAATGTGTCAAGCAGAAGAACTAACATTGGCTGTTGAAAAGCACTCCTGCTTGTGGGATATTCATGGCAAGGACTACCACAAAAGAGATGTCAAAGATTTGGCGTGGGAACAAGTTTTCAAAGAGGTTATATAGGATTGGAGCTCGTGCACAAAAGTGGAAAAAGAAAACAAAAGTAAAATTACTTTTCTTTCACTTTCATTACAAAGACTATTGCCCACTGCACTTTTATTGTTGTAAATTGGTAATCCTTTCGTTATATAGGTATGATATTTCTCCTGCCGGCGTCATGAAGTACTGAGCAAACTCGTCTCTTATGCTTCGGCCTCGGTTTATAGATCTATGTTGTGGATCCAGAGATAATCTCACCCAGGTATCTTGCTTTCTTAATTTATCACGTTTGAAATTATGAATTTCATCGAAAGATTGTATTGACATCATCTAGAAATCAAAGAATTTATCTGGATATGCTCGTAACTTTGCCCTTTTTGGATAAAATAGACTCACGTAGATTCTCCGACTGTTTAACAAATGCACCCAATACCGACGTTTTTTTTTTTCTTCTTTTTTAATAATGATAATAGAAGTGCACTCGCAATTAAATCGTCGTACTCCATCGCCAAGCATTCACAGAGTTGCCACTGAACGTACTGGTAGTATAATATTCAAAAATTGAACGTTTGCGCTAGCCTCACGGAATTCCGAATTGGAATTTCTGATTAGGAAACCGTATACGGAAAATTTTTATCTTCGCCATCCTTCGCCAACCCAAGCTGATAGCATTGATTCGCATATTCTACCTAAAGGTAGGCAACCATATACTGTTATCCATCGTCTGAAAAGGGATCCGATACAGGTGCCATCTATGAGACAGTAGCAGAACTGAAAAAATGGCGCCAAGTGGAGTGACTCTGCACCTCCTAGGCAACGCTGTCTTCATTCATAAAGAATTATGTTCGGCACAACTTGGCCCCGCTGAGAAATAAGTTAGCTACGAACATGTAAGTATAACAAAAATTCAATCAAGTTTGTCAAATAGGCTCATACAATTAAAAATTGCATATTTTGCAGGTTTCTATGAACAATTTTCGGTTCTTCAGGATTTGACTTCCTGATAAAATACACTTCGTCTCGCTCTTCAAAAAGTTTTGTGTAGGCAGATACACCAAGTTATCTCTTGCCGATGGATGGCACTCCCCTTCCCCTGAGAAAAATTACAGCGGCCGCACAGGGTCGAAACTATGTGTACATCTAGCGTGTATGACGATCGACGGTTCTCACTCATCCGAGCAGCGGAGGCCGATTTCTTCACACATGCATCACCAGGACCACGAAGCGTATGATCGACACGCGAGGGTCGGATGTATTTCTAGTTTTAAGGATAAATGTACGATGAAATATATGACTAGTGAAATATGTTTAATAGGTAGGTAGAATTACCGCAGCTGGATACGTATGAGTAAACCAACGTCAAAAAATTGAGATATACCCTTTCCCACCTGCAAATTAACTACAAAAAATCTTAAAAAACTGAAAAGCGATCAGGATTCTCTGAAACGTCAAGGAACGAAGTTTGAGCGATTTTTTTGCTTTCCCCGCTACTGGAACGATTTCCAAAAACTATAAAGATTTTCCGATCTTGGCATAGTAGTGATCTTGTGTGAAAATTTAATCAAAATCCGACTGGTACTTTTCAAATTATGGCGGCGTCAAGGATTAGCGGAGAGACAGACAGACAGACTGACGGAAATCAGTGACATGGTTTTTCGTAATGTACATGCCATATAACATCAAAAGAACATAATGTCTCATTTTCGAAATTTTTCGTGATTACAATTCTCGCCAGTGGCGTAGGAAGTAAAACGAATTTAGAAACCTACTTTAAAATGAGTTTAAGTATCTGGTTTTTCTGCTGACTTGTAGATGGTGCTAAGATGTTCAATCCCTTTTTGGCCTCTCCTCTCTAGGCATTACAGAGGACAAAAATGATAGGAGATCCTAGTACCATCTATTAGACAAAAGCAGAACCAAACGCAATAACTCTTTTCTTTTCAAAGTATAGAATTATAAATTCATCTTGTTCTACTACTGTCTGCTAAAGGGCGCTAGTATGTTCCAGATCCCCTTTTAGGCGCCAGAATACCACATATGGTGGAATACGTTATCAAGTATAATAATAATAATAATAATAATAATAATAATAATCTTTATTTGTTCTGTAGATCATTTGTCATGACATAGAACACGTCAAGGTACTCTATCTTGAAACTAAGACAAGCATTACAAAAATAGATAAATAAAAATAAAAACAATACACGTATGAAATATATGACAGTCCCAAAAACAATGAACAAAAATACAACAAGTACATATTAAAATAAATCGGCCAAGTTAAAATATATAAATAAAAATAAATAAAATACAAGAACCAGAAATAATATGCTACAGTAAAAAATGTATATGGGACTGATAATAATAATAATAATAATAATTTATTCATCCTTTGGATCACAAAGTGATATAGGATAAGTCAATTGAATATTTGTATAAACAGAATTGCCTACATACATAAATAACATTCAAAACATCAAATAAAAACACGAAGTGTATAAACATGAAAACAAATTGAAATACAAATTAACAAATTAAAATTGAACCATACATTAAAACAATTAAAAAAGACTATCACTCATTAAAAACTCTTCTATAGAGTAGAAAGCATTATCAAGTAAAATTTGCTTGATTCTTTTTTTAAATAATATCAGCGGTAGTGATTTACAATCAATGGGTAGTTTGTTGAAGAGTTTTATTCCCATGTATTTGGCACTCTCCTCCGTCCTAGACAACCTATGTGCCGGAACCTCCAATACTTCTCTGTTTCTGGTATTATAAATTCCAGAATTTATAGAACTAAAATTGTTCAGGTGAGATTTGACGTAAATCAATATATTCAATATATATACTGAAGGCACCGTCAAAATCTTCAAATCAGTGAATAGTTCCCTGCAACTAAAGCGCCTTCCCACCTTTGCAATAGTTCTAATAGCTCTTTTTTGTAATATAAGAAGCCTTTGTAATTTGGAGGATGCTCCCCATGCTTCTATTCCATAAGTCAGAGTAGAATGGAAATGTGCATGGTAAAACATTAACAATATCCACTTATCAACGATAAAACTCAGCTGGTACATGCAATAGCAAAGAGAGGTAATCTTATGACTAACTTTCTCTATATGCGTATCCCATTTGCAGTTTTGCGATATGTGTATTCCTAAAAATTTTATAGTTTCTGCTTGTTCCATGGATCTACCGCTTGATTTTATAAGGAGACTACGATCCATGTGCATGTTAGAGTAGTTAAATCTCAGAAACACTGTCTTTTTGTGGTTTAAGACCAGGCCGTTATTAATGAACCATTGCTCTGCACTAGCTAAGCTTGTGTTGGCATTTCTTATCACTGACTCCAAGTTTTTGCCATTAATAAGTAATGAGGTATCATCAGCATACATTACCGAGGATTTGGCGGGAAAGTCATTGACATATATTATGTATAGGAGAGGACCAAGTATGGAACCCTGTGGAACCCCTGTATGATATAGGTGCTGGTCAGACTGTGCAGTCAGTACTTCAACATAATGTTTTCTGTTGCTTAGATAACTGTGAAACCAGTCAAATGGCTTACCTCTGATTCCATATCTATCCAATTTATCCAAAAGTATTACGTGGTCAACTAAATCAAAAGCTTTACTCAAGTCAAGAAATATTCCTACACACTTTTCACCATTGTCCATTTTCAAATACAGTTCATCAAGAAAATGAAGCACAGCGTTTTTGGTTGACAAACCTTTTCTGAATCCAAACTGTATGCTATTGAATAATTTGAACCTGTCAAAAAAATTGACAATTTGTAAGGAAGCATATTTCTCAAATACTTTCGCAAAGGGACTGATTAGGGAGATTGGCCTAAAATTACAGATGTCGTGGTTATCACCAGACTTGAACAAGGGCTTAATTCTTGCAACTTTAAGTTTATCTGGAAATGTCCCCTCCTCAATGGAACAATTAATTAGAAATGCTAGAGGTTGGCTAAGGAAACTAGATGACATTTTTAAAATATTTGCACTAATTTTATCTGCGCTAGTCGAGTTGGAGTTTTTAAGGTTATTTATTATTGATATTATGTCACAACTTACAGCGGGTTGAAAATAGAAAGAGTGACTGTTTCTATCTATATTATTTCCATTATTTCCTGTTCCATTACGTTCATAGGAGCCTGAAATATCATTAAAATGCTGCATAAATTTTTCGGCAATCTCTTTTGGTTCGGTTATTATTTTATTTTCTATGTTTAAGTTGATGATTTCGTGCTTAGGTGTGTTTCTGTTTTCGTTTACTACATTCCAAGCACTTTTTGTTTTATTTTTTGCATTTAGTATAATTTTGTTGTAATATAGTCGCTTAGCTGCTCTTAAAACTCTGGCATATACCTTTTTATATTTTTTATAGAACTCTATAAGAAATACATCTCCCGTCTTAGACAAATTATACAGATAGTGAAGCTTATCTCTTGATATTAGGATACCTTTTGTAATCCATCGTCTTCTGGCTCTTGCTTTTACGGTTTTGGTTATAACTGGGAATGCTATGTCAACATAATACTGAAACGTTTGTAGGAATAAATCAAACTTCTCATTAATATCCCCAGTGGAATGATAAATGTGGTCCCAGGTTTCTTGACCTAGGAGAGCTAAAAAATTGTTGATGTTGGATTTATTATACAGGTCTTGGTACTGGTAGGAAATCTGAGGTGGCTGTTCATCTTTTTGACAGTATAGAGTTAATAATTGAGCAAAATGATCGCTAACATTATTGTTTACTACTGCAGTATCACACTTTACATCCACCCCTACACAAATATTGTCTATGCAATTAGATCCTCGCGTAGGTTGTTTGATAACAGGCTTCAGTGAATATGAGCTTAAAACATCCAACAGACAATTTAAATCTAAAGAGTTTTTGTTAAAATTTATGTTAAAATCACCACAAAGGACAGTACCACATTTTTTACATTTAATGTTTAAAATATTTAAAAGGTCATCAAGTTTTTCTAAAAAAATTTTAAAATCGGCATCAGGACTTCTATACAGAGAAACAATAACCGAGTTGAGGTTTTCGGTTATAACTTGAATTCCACTACATTCGAAATGCTTATCAACTGAAATATCATTCAAATAGTCTAGATTATTGTATTCTAGTCCTGCTTTGAGGTATATACATGTCCCGCCATGATGAAAAAGCTTTCTACAGTATGAAGTTGCTAAAATGTACTCGTGTATATATAAAGACATAATTTGGTCAGAATTTGCCCAGTGCTCAGAAACACAAAATATATCACAGTTATTTTCATTTAGAAACACTTCAAGCTCAAGTAGTTTGTTACTAAGGCATTGCACATTTTGATGAATTATTTTTAAACTATTTGAGTTATTTCCATTAAAAATACAACCATTTTCATTGAATTGTTCACTACATTGATTATTTGGAGCTCTATCAAAGAAAAAGCTTGCACTTTGATGAGGGGGTTGTATCAATTACTCTCAATACTATATTTGTGTGATTAGTGTACTTCATAAATTCGTTTGCTACCATTTTGAGTACCGCTATCGGGTTAGACACGTTAGTCTTAAATTTGAGTGATATATTGGTATTCGTATTTATGAATCTGGCTACTGCCCTACTTAAGTAGTTTTCTACCCTAAAATCCTCAACATGACTGCGATGCGTCATGATAAATAAATTAGTTAGCTTACTAAGTGGAAGCAAATGCCTCAAAGCAAAATTTAATTGCTTAAAGTTGGATATATTCATAGAGCTCACCATTACAATAATAAGGTCATGTTTACCATACTGTTGCGAGTAGTGGAACAATGACTTAGCTAACTCCGAAAACTCTAAGCCAGGCTTTACTACACCTTCTATAATTATGTCTCGATTAGATAACAATGAATGCAACACTATGGAACCGCTTTTCGCAAACTCATCACCGATAATTAGTACTTTGCGTTTCTTATCTGTTTTATGGATTTCACTAGCTTGCACGGGCAAAACTTCACTGGCATTAAGTAAGCTTATATTTTCTGTAACTGCTTCAAGTAGAATTGCCTCCCGTTCCAACAAACTGTTGTCATGCATTCCGTCATCATTATTTGAAACTTCTGTAGAGTATTCTTCTGCAATATGTTTTTCTCCGCTCCTTTGTCCTTTTTGTTTTATGGATACATTATCAACATCCAAGTCACTTTCAATATTTAATGTTTTTCCATCTATTCCTTGATTAAGTTCCATTATTTGATTCAGTTGCTCAATTTGTTCAATTTGTCTGCTGATTTCTTGATTCAATTCTCCGTTTCTCTTCTTTACATCTGCTACTTTATCCTCCATGAATTTTATACCAGCTTCAGTTATATCGGTTTGCGTCTGTGTATGAAACAGTTGTTTGTTCACTGATAAATTATCGAGAGTTTTTTGTAGAGTACTTATTATTTCATTTTTATTGGATAGCTTTAGTTTCAGTTCTTTAATTTCTTCCAACATACTTGCGTTTTTCTCCATTATGTCTTCGTTTATGGCCTGCTGCTGTGCAAGTTTATTTCTAAAGTTATCAATAATATTATTAGACATATCCTGATTATCATCAGAATCATAGTCACATTTTATACTTATATAACTCGTATTAGCAGAAGATGATGCTCCTTTTGTCAATTGAGAAGTTGATGGTGTTTTCGTTGGTCTATTTGCCTTTAAGTTGCGAACATTGGATCTTGTGAGAACCTTAGACATTGTGCTAGCTATTATTGCTTGTTTGCTTTGATTCCCACCCAGTTACTGATATGCGTCAAGTAAAGATAATTTGAAGAAGATCCGATTATGTTACACCACTGGGTCAAAGGAATGTAGTGACTTACTCGATATGCTATGTTTACGATTGTCCCATTCAAATCAAATGCAGAAAATTCGAGCTGAACAATCTTCACATGGGAAATCAACACATTCAAATAACTAGATTATAACACTCGCACTATTAAATTCACACAGACTATCACAATTTTATCAAAAAATTTCGGATCGAATCTAAAGACATTTCAACTCTTCATAGGCGCGCGCTAATTGTAACTACTATATTAGTAACTATAATTAGTCCACGTACATTTTATACCCCACAAACAAGATAAGAAAACCATTCCAACTCCGACCAAATAAAATGAGTATACCAAAATTCATTAAAAACCCCATAAAACACAATAAAATGAGATCCACAATTAGTTTGGATAAAAAATAATAAAACGCATTTGAATGAGCCCGACGTAGAGTAAGTGCAGCATATTTAGAATACTGCAGGTAACTTGTAATACTTAGTTATCTAAATAAATGTGAACGCTATCTGTATTTTTTGTCGTGAATATAACGTAAATTATACAAAACTACTTATACTAAAAACAGGAGGCCATCTTGACATTTCCTGCTACCAGCCACATGGGAACGGGACGTCTACTTTGAAAACTTTTTCTGTAAGAATGCAATTATTGATAATCATTTGCTATGATACTTGAAATCTTCATTGCAATTATTTGAACTGCTATGTGTCCTTGTTAGTTTACAATTTTATTTTGATTTTGTGAATATATTTAGAATTAAAAATGTGACATGAAATTTTAATTTAGGATGTCATATTGTTAATTTGGAATAGGTACAGTGCTTAATGTGCTTGTAGTGGTTATGAATCCTGTGTATCTCTGTGATTAGGTATTAGTTTCTTAGAAAAAGTGTAACAATTGTCAAAAAAAAGGTTATTATAATTTGGAATACTATATTCCACATTACCTGCACCCTAAGTAAATTTACGATTTTGAGGTGTTTTATTTTGATGAATGTTTTGATATTGTTCCTGTTTTTTTTTGATTCATTAAAATTTAATAATTTCCCAATTTAATGGATTTTTCATTTTGCTATCTCGTTTATCTTGCAATTTATTTCATAAAACAAACCTGTATTGTAAATATGCTGCAGTTTCTCTACTTCGTTAAAAATGGCGCGTATGTATAACGTTGCCTTTCCTAGAATTGCAATTTGGCTTTCAAGTAAAGATATGACATTGTGGTTTGTAATCTGCTAAGTAGGAGACCTATCCAATTACGTTCTTTAAAGTTTTCAGACAACAGCGTACTATTTTGTTGAACAATACAATTCAAGTGCCTATAACAAAGCTGCGCAGTTTTAATATTTGTATATATTTAAACTGCAAATATCAGTTTACACTAGAGATAACTAAATCAGATGTGATATGAAATAAGGTCATGTAATATTTGAACCTCCTACAGTTATTTTTAGCATTTAGCGTACAAAGTAGAATTAGTTAAAGTTAAGTATCAATTCAACATATTCAAGATATGTCGAAATCCATAAAGTTCGAAAATGTAGCAGATATGCTTGTAAGCAATAATACCGGCTCAAGAAATATACCTTTAATAAACCAAAGATCCACTTCAGTGTTTTGGCAAACATTTTAGTGGTAGAGTACAAACGTTTATTCACCTTTCTAGCCTATCTCCTAATACTGTACTCCTATCACTTGATATTGGGTTGTATAGGTCATCTACGTCCAAGGTTTTTCGATAACCTTTCCGGAACATGCCAATAGTATACCTGAAACAAACAGATAACTTTGAGTATGTCACAATTTAAATTATGATTTATTTTGTTATGGTTTCTTCATTACATTTTCATGTAGATGATAAAATATTATTTTAACTAGATTTACTATACATAAACATAAACATTCCCAGCAACTTACAATGCAACAAAAAAATAACTAAAATAATCTGGCAAATTTTTTTGACAACGTTTTGGCACATTTTAAGAAGTGCAAATTTTGATTCAAATAATCATAACCATACATCAACCAATCCAATAGATTCGCTCATGTGTAAAATATACAATAATAAAACTTGGTAAAATTCGGAATGTGTGATAACTGTTTAATGCCAAATCTTACTCTACGATCTTTTTCGACACAGGATAGGTATATTCATCAGCTTTAAATTGCAGATCTAATTTCTGAATAATAGGCACTATCTTGTTTTACAGGGTAAAAAAATATCCTATTTTCTCTGATACAGTCTGTAATGTGACTTCATCAGCCAATTCGACCAGAATATTTCCCATTACCAACGATCACACTTTCTCTATAATGTGAATGAAGTACTACAAGTAGGGTCCGACAGAAGCTTCAAGTTCTGTAACATTCTGCGAAAAATGCAACTTCGGTCACTTGTTCGGCCTTCGGAAGAAAAGTTTTACCGACAAATCATGACCGAGGTATCTGTTTGTATTGACCTTGGGAGGATTTCTTGAAACAGCAAAAATTGTGTATACTTTGATTTCCGCTTAAAGTGGCTGAACAAAGCAAGACGCATGTAGACAGATAGCGTTCAAACTAGATACTGGTGAAATATTTTACATAGTTAATGAAATTAGTAGTGAGAAGGATAAATACTCAGCTTTAATTTCGTAATTTAAATGTTTTTCATATTTAGATTTTAGATGAGACTGGATTTATGGCTTCGGTAAAATTGAAATTTGAAAGAAATATTTTGCCTCTCAAAAGTCTGGAGATATTTTACAAATAAACATGGCCTCTATTTTAAAAATCACAGTATATTGGGAATTTAAGCCTACACCACAGCATTAGCCCGCCGCCACTGAAGAGAATCTAACCAAGCCGCCTGCCCCTATAGAATGCGGTTCATCTTATCTATAATTTATTGCCCGGACATTACCTTCCAGGATCAATCATGCTTTTAAGACCGCCTTTCGCGCTAATACAACGTTTTAATTCGGTATTTTTCTAGGCCAGAAATGGAATAGGTATGTGCAACTTGGAACGCTCATTTTTTGTACATACTCTTATTGTCAAATATTCAATGCTGCAGGACAAACCTATAATAACAGGAAGGTCAGCTTACAATGTGGTCTCACTATGTTGCTATTCTATTGCTCTGATATTTAATTATTGACAGCGTTGACACCCGTTTCATAATTAGTTTCAGAACTTTATTTCCACCTACTGTTTTTTTCCTTAAACATTTACTACAAAAGCATGCACTAAAGCCAATATTGATTCTTTAACTTATTTCACTGTCAAAAAATAAAATTAAGTAAAAAAATGGTTACTTTGTTTCCAAGACGGACATTTACTTCTATGTTTCGCATATCAATTATTCTACATGCTAAATGTTAAAGAAATAAAATAAGCAACTCGGGTTGCCAATATAGTTCTATGAATATATAGCTAGTTTCAATTTCTATTTCAACTGTTTAAACAGTTTTATTCGGTTTATTAGCGTAAATAATTCTAACTCCTGAAACTTTGTGTCTTTCTCTCTGGTATACTTTAATTAAGTTGATATTTTTTGGTTTTATAATATTTTGATCTGAATGTAACACGGCTTAATTAGATTTAAGTGTTCATCATATTATCGTCTAACTCAAAGTCGTCTCAGCTACGGTATTATTGCCTGCCGATTCAACACATTAAACAGTAATTCCTACTTATCAGAGTTGGATCCGGAGGCATAAACGTTCATTATTTATGATTAATACGTCAATCTTCGACCTTCAGCCAAAAAACTGACCCTTGGTCGGACCATACGAAGTAGTTTATTTCAACCTCACATGTATATGTCAGCGTCAAACGCTGAAATCCATCATTCCCTGAAATGCCTAGTCAGTCCCCTTATTGCCGTGAAACACCGTAACAGTTTCATCATTACAACGTTTGACTAAGCATTTCAGTTATTCCTTGTAATCACTGAACAATTTCAGTCAAATACCGTAACAAGCTCATTAACTTCGTTACTCAATTTGCCTGATTCAGTCATTTATTGTACCAGTTTTGTGACCACTTGCTTATTTTATACATCGTCTTTTCTGTGTTTGTAAAGATGTCGCAGCATTCAGAATTGTTTTACAAGAAACTATGACAGTGTGAATAAGAAAAAAATGATGGAATACAAATGAGTTAAAGGAGGTAAGTTGATTTTTATAATTTTGTGAACCTAACCTAAATTATAACGTACATAGCAACAGCAGCATCCATTGTTGCCGGATTTCGTATATAAGCACTTGATTAAAAAACAATAATGTAATAATAAAGACAACGTCTTAATCTATTCTTCTTTCCTTTTAGATTAATTCATGCTTGATTATTTTTCTTTTAATATTATTGATAAAGTAGTACCTTGTTATATTATGTACTTCATTGGAGCAACACTACAGAGTATGACTAAAATAGGCGAATGCAGTAACGAAGTTGATGTGGTTGTTAGGGTGTTTGACTGAAATTGTTCAGTTATTACCGGGAATGACTGAAATGCTTAGTCAAATGTTGTAATAATCAAACTGTTACGGTGTTTGTCGGCAATACGGGGACTGACTAGGCATCTCAGGGAATGACGGATTTCAGCGTTTGACGCCGGCATATACATTTACAAATATTTCCATGACTCAATTTATGACATGCTTTAGTATAACGGTATCTTTAAACAAAAGTTCTACTATTTTAAAATTTTAAAATTCACATATTCTTCAGATATTCTTTGTCGTAATAGTGCAGCTTATTTAACTTACAAAGATGGTATTTGTTCAGACTAACCTTTATTTGAGAAAGATATTAAAGGCATATAAACAATTTTTAATCCAAGTAGAAAGTTAATCCAGGGATTCATCACGTTGATTGCAGGTGATTGTTTCTTATATAGCATACAGTGTGTGATCTGAAACGCGAGAAATAGCATTTTGACGTTTGATGATCGTCCCGTGAGAAAATGATATAAGACACAACAGTTTAAATGTTGAAGAGCTATTTATTGCGTTTCAGATCCGAAAACAATGCATTTACAACACATTAGTCGAAGTTTGCGTAACAATTAACCTGTGTGTTGCGACAACAGTTCTGACTGGGTTTTCGCGTCTTTAGGCGTTTTCGGAACGATGGGCGAGGGTGACGTATCTGGTACATTAAAAAATCTGCAGGTAACCTCATACTCGCTTGTCCTTTTGGGAGCGGGAATGTCTACCCCAGGCGGTCGTGGGCTATGCTATGCTGGTTTTACGTGGTGTCATCCTAAAATTTGGAATAATGGCTTTACGCCTTTTCGGCATGTTACGGACCTTTCAGACTGTTGTAGTAACGCACTGTATAGGAATATGAAAACAAACGAAGTGAAAGACTGTGAGGAAAAACCTGGATAAAGAACTTATAGACCATTAGTAATGTTTGAGAATATCAATTAGATTTTTCCTTCAAGTATATTCTACCAAATTAGATCACAGTCCACAGGGTAAATAAAATATTGTCAAAAGTGTAATGTACTGAAGAAGTCACCGTTGTGACCAGAGCATACGCTACATGAAAGAAAAATTTCAAATATATGTGGTTTCATTGGCCAAACATTATTAGATTAGTGGATTTTCCTCTTACAAATATGGCCTTATAATAACAGCGTTTATTGCAGCATTGTGAAGTTGAAAAAAGTGCGTTTAGATATAAGTTCATCCCATCTGCTAAAATCTCAAATAGTCACTCGCCCAAAAAAAAATATTTCATTATCAGCTGTTTTGAAATTCTGTGCCAAATCTAGATTTCGATCTAAGGTGCCTCCCATACAAGTAATTTCACGCTTCATTTAACAAGTTAATTTATTTCTAGACGGAGTCTTCATTATAAATCGAGATTAAATTGTAATTTTCCCAACTATTTGCAAACGAATGATTCCACAAAAAGAAGTACTATCAATTAATCTATATTTATCTTGTAAATGAAGTAGCATCAGATGGGCACTTGCATCTTTCTCTGTATTCGTGACCATACGACAGATAACATCCATAAAGAGGATAACAAATCCATAACAATTTATGTGAGACACAATACAAGGCTTCAGAGTAAGTTATGCAATATTCTAAGACTGTTAATGTTTAGCGGAGAGAGACACGTAAACAGGATGATTCAAGACACAATGTCAGTTATTTTAGGGTAGAGAATGTTCCCAAAAGTAACAAAATTTTATTTAATATTTTGTTTTCAGTTTGATTAGAATTATTTATTTCAATGTTGATGAAAGTTAGTGTTTTAAATTATTTTAGAATTATCTTTGATATCCACCGACGGTGACATAATCAACACAACCTTAGTTATATATACTAAGTGACATATAAATGCGAACACCCAGTTTAAATGGTTTTATTTTAACAAAATTTTGTATAGGTACTTAATGAAGCATAATAATAAATGATAAAAATTTCAAAATGATTGCACTGCTTTAAAGCCCTTTGACCTTTAATAATGCGTGGATGCACCCTGATGTGCTACGCATTCTCCAACGCGCCTAGGCATGCTTCTGATCAGGTGGTCAATGTCCTCCTGTGGTATCTCATTCCAGGCAATCACCAACTCCTCTCGAAGTGCTTCTAGAGTCTGAGGAGGACGTTGCAAATTGAGCAATCTCCTACCCATCATATCCCACACGTGCTCAATTGGGGATAAGTCGGGAGATCTTGGTGGCCATGGTAACAATGTGACATCATTATGTTGAAAGAAGTCTATTGTGACTCTTGCAACATGTGGTCGGGCATTATCTTTTCGGAAAGTTGGATCTGCCAGGGTGT